TTAAGCACAAGTTGGCCCCTAACTCCAAATAATCAGGGCATAGAACCCAGGTGCCTCTTACACACTGATAACAGACCAGACAAGCTATTTCCACTCTTATACTGCCTGGATAACAGGGAGATTTAATGCTTCCACCCCAACAGACACCAAATCTACTGTCCACTGAGGCCTGGCCCCACCTGGCCCCACCTGGCCCCACCTGGCCCCACCTGGCCCCTGGATTTTACCTTTGCTTTTCCAATTGCCCTTGGCTGTGCCTGACTCATTTGAAGTTGCTTAACTAGCTTAATGCTAATCAGTTATATATTTTATGTCTCTGAGGAAAAAAAGAAAAAGAAATCAATCAATGAAAGGAAAATCTCATTTGTAAAACAACACAAAGGAGTTTTGCAAGATCTAGCCTTCAAGAGACCTGTCAGCAGTTAGCTTGACCCCAGGAAGCCAGGAGGAAGGGGAAGGGTTGATGAATGGGTAGAGATCGCTAGGAAAGCTGAGGGAGCTTAATCTCTATACAATTCCTCTGAAGTAAGTGTTTTCCTGACTAGCACACATCCTCACAAATGGAACTCTTCCCTTGAAATTACAAAATCTTACATTTCTTCCAACTGTCCATGTCCACTCCCATCTCCTACTGACTCAGACTTCTCTTTAAACTATATTTGCTTTTGACTGTGAGTTGGTTATATACATATACATATACATATACATATACATATACATATACATATACATATACATATACATATACACAGAGAGAGAGAGAGAGTGTGTGTGTACTTGAGCCCATGAGTGCTAAGTAAGCAAGTGCTTTACTCCTGAGCTACACCCTCAGTTCCCTTTGTACTTTCTCATTTGATGCAGGGTCTTGGGAAGTTGGCTAGTGTTAACTCACTGTGTATCCCATATCCCAAGGAGACCTGAGCTTGTGATCCTCTTGCCTCAGACTTCTACATAGCTGGGATGGCAGGCTTATGTACAGATTTTTAGGACTTTGGTCAGGTAAATATAAGCAAGTAATTTCTTCTGGGACACAGCTTGCCTCTTTTTTAAAAAAAAGCATTGTTTTATTTATTTATTTATTTATTTATTTATTTGGGGACAAGGGAACACAGCCTGGGTTAGAGGACAACCTGTGAATCAGGTCTCTTTTTTCACCCCATGGATCCCTGGGGTTAAACGCAAGTCATCATGCTGAGAGCCATGTGCCTTTACCTGCTAAGCCGTCTGGCTAGGTCCTTTACATAAAGATAAGGTGCCTGTCCTAGAGTCATGTTTGATGTAACCATTCCTATCCAATTCCTCACGCTCATATTAAGTTTTCACTTTTCCACAGTGTTTTCCCTTGCTGTGATATAACTGCTCATATGGATAGGTCATCTGCTAACCTTGCTGTGA